GCGGTTTGAATGAGAATCAGGCAGAGCAGCTCATAGAGAATCTTGTCCAGAGTGATGCTTGTTATGGGGGTGATTATGATAGAAATTTCCCTCCTTCTGACAACAACAGTGACCACAAGCTGAAAGAACTCAGTGAGAGGTTAGATAGGATGGGTAAAGTGTTGATGGCTAACCAAAAGGAAGTTCATTTTGTGGGAGAGATCGATAGTTTTCCTGGTAGCTACCAAGAAGAATCTGCTGAAGTCTCTGATTTTCTTGCAGACGTCAAACCCTTGTAGTACGTGAACAAGTCTCTGCTTTGAATATTTTTGTTGTTTGGTTCATTATGATTTTGTTGTTTGGTGTATTATGATTTGGTTGTATGGTTCATTGAATATATTTGTTGGTTGATCACTGAATTTATATATATAAAAAAAATTATTTTTTTATTCTTTAGAACTCTTAATGAGTATCACCATTAAATATATAAAAATTACAAAATCATCAATGAGTCTCAAATTAAACTTAATACTAAATTAATTTTGTTGATATCCAAAGTGTATCACCAATAATGATGTTCTAATATTCTTAAAAAAAAAATTTAAACAAGAGTTTTAAGAGTCAGATCCTCAATTCTCTTCCCTCTGTTTTGATTATTTTTCATTTGTTTATTTGTAAAAGACTGCTTTAGAAACACCGATGTTTATGCGGCCATCCTTGAATATCGCAAGTTTCACATTTTAAAAGGACATTCCTACTGTCATATAATTATATATTTATGCGGCCATCCTTGAATATCGCAAGTTTCACATTTTAAAGGACATTCCTACTGTCAGTTTCTAGGCATGAAACAAACAAAATAGGACTAAAGAGCCAAAGAGGTTAAAAACTGTTATATTTTGATGTCACGTCATTGGGCAGAAGCATGTTATATATTTCATTGGTCACATAACAACACGTGGAACATGTGTTCTGATATGAATTAACAATTAGACACAAATTGTGGAATAGTTGAAATTAGGGAGATTAAACTTGATACTTCATTCAGTGTCTTGACATTAGTCCCATGTGATATAGACTTATAGATCACTAGGAATTTCGTTGCGTAGGATTTAAAAATTAACATGATAAAAATTAATTTAATAAATTTTAGTTATTAATTGTGTGTTTAATATTATATAAATTTGGTGTTTATAGTAAATAATTATTTAAGTTAGAAGATTAAGGATTTATAGCAAATTATTAGACATACACACCTTTATATATATATACTAGATTTTGATCTCACGGCAAACGATGGGTTAAATAATTAAATAGGTTGACTAATCGATTTTAATATATACAATTTTTTTATATTTA